TTGGCGTAAACAACATGAAAGCATGGATCCATCCTGCCTTGTATCAAAGGTTCAGGCTGCTGCTGGTGGTGTGATGGTGTGAGGGATATTTTCTTGGCACATTTTGGGCCCCTTAGTACCAACTGAGCATCGTTTAAACACGACAGCCTTCCTGAGTGTTGTTGCTGACCATGTCCATCTCTTTATGACCACAGTGTACCATCCTCTGATGGCTACTTCCAGCAGGATAATGCACCATGTCACAAAGCTCAAATCACCTCAAACTGGTTTCTTGAACATGACAGTCACCAGATCTTAATCCAACAGAGCACCTTTGGGATGTGGTGGAACGGGAGATTCGCATCATGGATGTGCAGTAACTGCGTGATGCTTTCATGTCAATATGGACCAAAGTCTCTGAGGAATGTTTCAAACACCTTGTTAAATGTATGCCATGAAGAATTGAAGCAGTTCTGAAGGCAAAAGGGGGTCCAACCTGGTACTAGCAAGGTGTGCCTAATAAAGTGGCCGGTGAGTGTATAATCTATAATCTAACAGTCAGCTGTGCCCTTTAATTTGAAACCAGCACAATGTTATGGAGACCAGTGTTTAAAGGGGATGAAAGCAGTGGATGTGATTGGCCACAGCGTCTAACACGCCCTCCTCTAATGTTTAATATTGGTTTCTAGTCTGATCCCATCTGAGATCTACAGTCCCTTGATATCAGATGACTCAGCAGCCATGAGTGCAGCGTGTGGACACAGTGTGAACGTCAACAAAAAAATACGCTGATCCCTCAGGCACACATGAGTCAGCGTTTAGCCTCTGTCCTAAATATAAGAAAGCTTAATCAGAAGCACAACAAGCTGAACTTCAGGAGCCAAGAGTTCAATGTGAAGAGTCTCTGTGGGTATTTTAATTGCCGGATGTGACTGCAGGATGTTTCTGTTTGAGTCTTTTACTTACACAAAGTCAGTTCAACAGAAATAACCGGTCAAACTCCTTCATGTGATACAGATAATAATGATAATACAATTCTTTAACAGCAACAAAAAACACACAAACAGGAAATAAAGCTGACAAACAGCTTAAAACCAGGTTTTTATTTACATTCAGTGCTGTGAATGAACAAGAAATCCGCTGTAGTGAATTAAAGCTCAAATAAATGTATTTAATGGCAAATTAAATAAAGTAGATACCCACTGACTTAACATAAGAAACGTGTGGTAACATGAAATATGTGGAGTTGTGGAACATTGAATGTTTTTGCCGACACTGCAGCTCTGTGCAGGAAGTCCATGAAGATGCTGATGTGCTGCCACCTGCTGACTCCACAGGTTTAGGCTGTTAACTAGTGATGGCAGTGCGACACTGAAGCTTCGACACACACTTCAAACCCCTGGACTACAATCCTATTGAACCACTGCTTCAAAGCTGCCTTTGAATTCACGTGACATGTAACGCAACTGCTTCACTTACTGAATGAATCACCGACTGGTTCGCGGTCCAGTCACGTGATTCACTGCAGTGATGGCGAGATGAAGCTTCATGAAGCATTGAAGCTTTCCATCCAGTTGGTTCACTCATGGGCCGAAGCTTCACGGTGCTTCATTTGCTCTGCTGCGCCATCAAGTGGACAATAAATGTAAAAACAGGCAGAGTGATTAAAAGGCAACATGGCTTTGGTGTGTGAAGCTTTGAACTGAATAAATTAATGAATGATGTTTGTGATGCCAATACAGGACTGATGACTGTCTTTATGATACAATGACAGAGTCAGAAGGAAAGTGGAAGCAAGGGAGAGTGTTGTGATAACTTGGTTTGTGACTTTAGATAATAGAGACAACATTTTATTCATCTTTATTTAAAAATAACACTTCCACAGTTTCTTTTCTGGAGATGATTTTACCTGCTTTAGAAAATTATTATTAGTAAAAAAAAAAAACATGTCAACACTTTCTTTTTCTCTGTTTGATCAAAGCAATTCTGACATAAGTTGATAAACTTTTTTAGTCATTTAAAATGAGCTGTAGATAAAATCTAATTGTGTTCAAGTTCAAAAGTCCACAAAATGTTGAGGAGGGTGCGATGCACTTTGCTGCTCCTTTCGAATCGCACGCCAAACCCGCAAACCGTCTCCTGAATCGGTCCCGTACGACCACCACATACGTCACCAACACAAGCCTCGATACTTCACAAAAATCATCCTGTATTACCCGACACACGCTTCGAAGCCTCGATACGGACGGACACGTCACTAATTCACTGGCACTGTCACCCCTGCCATAGTTACACAAGCACATCCAACCTGTGCCATATTTCCCAGCACTCTCTCCTCAATAACACAATAAATGCATTCATCAATCTTTAGTTGAACATGATGTTCAGTCTTAATGTGTGTGCATCAAAGAATTTTCTAAGAAAATATACTAAGGGTGATTCAAGCAAAGATGCTTTAAACTAATGGTCTTTTCTACAAAAGTAAAGTAGTTTCTCCAGCACTGCTCATCGAGGGGCGTGCGAGTATGTAATTACAGGCCTCCTGTCCACCAGCTAGCCTGCCAGGAGAGGTCACTGTAACTGAAGCTTCGAGTAATGAACCCAGTCGTCACTAAACACCATTGTCAGTGTAACTCCTATTTTAACTTTATTGAGTAAATTCAAGTCATGTTTTGTACAGCCTGAAATAAATGCTTTTATTCTTGTGGCGACTGGGAACTCTGGAGTAGCCTACAGTTCATAGCCTGTGTTGTGCTTATTGTTTGGATTCACTGTCCTATAAAATTTCACTGAAAAAGATAACGTTAATGCTTTCACTTCCCCACAATGTGAAAATGGTTGTATTAGGCCTACAGTTACTTTAAAATAAAATAAAATTAATCATTGAAGTATCAGAGTTGTTTCATGCTTATTCAGGCATTTGGTTATTTTATTGGCAACAATGCATTTTAAATGTGTATTTCTGCATATTTATTGATCATGCTAATGCGTTACTAATCAATGTAATCCTAAAGGAGATATATTATTATGTCTGCACTTTTTTTTTAGCAATTACATTGTTGTTGAAGTACAAGACAGCAAATTTAAAATCTTAAGATCCTCAGTGAAGTTCTTCATTTTCCATCGGGATGCTACACTGAGAGAAACCAGCATACTATTATACAATGATACAAACATAATTTCTCACTCTGCATAGCTTATTGTTAATGCTCATATAAATATAAAGCTCCCATGATTCAATACCAAGAAGACCATTTAATGTTCAACTGTAGACAAACATACAGGCAGTGTTGGGGAGGAACTACTTACATGCAATTTAGTCAAATAATTTAATTACAAAATAAATGTAAGTGTTATCTGTTACAGTTAGGCCGACTGGTAAAATATGTAATTAAATCACAATTTCTTATGAAAATGTTTAAGATGCCATCTGAATATTTTCTTTAAAAAGCTTGGCTATATGTTGAATAATATTCATTTTGTTGCTTTTGCGTGTATTTCATGTGCACATTGTCTTCCTTTGCCATTTCCAGCCACAGTTGTTTAGTAAAGTTTGTTGCTGTTCTGATGCTTTTGATTGGTTCTCATGTTTGAATTTGCAGCGCCACCGTGACTCAGTTAAACTGCCTCCCAAGCTGTGTTTTTAAAATGGTTAACTGTTGAAAAATAAAACATTTATGGCAGCATCAAATATGAGGAAAAACATTGATGTAAATAAAACATGTAGCTTGGTGTTTGTCTATTTTTTATATTATAAATGAAAGTTGGGTACACAAAGTAAATGATAAAAGCACAATTTTAATAGACTATACTATAGAATAAACAGAATAGACCCAAAAGTAAACATCATGCCAGTTAAAAAATTAAAGATGGGAGGCTAGAGCTTCAAGTTGTCTCTGATATCTATAATACAACAATATAGTATCATTTCATGGCCTATAGGCTACTCAATTAAATTACAAATATTACCAGTTATATTTTTGAAGTTAGAGCTATAGTCTATTAACGAATAAATGTAAAAAACACACTCAATGTATTATTTAATTAAGTAAACCCCACAATTGAGTTTTTCAAGTTTCTGTTGTAAACTTCTCAGCTGACATAATTTACAAAGTTAAGTTTAAGTTGATTAATATCTTGGATAAATTTTATATCCATTAGATTACCATCCTTTTAAATTTCTGTGTAAAATTTAATTTTACAGCAACACTTTTAATGCCAATAAAAAAAAAAAAGAAGTTTGAGAAAAAACAACAAGCCTGACGGCGACGGGCTTATCAACGTTTGGCTTGTTCACTGGCGACAGAGTAGCCGATCCACACGCGTAGGTGTCACATGACGGTCTCCTTTGGCAGGTTATCCGTGGCACAATCCACCCGCCATACTCAACCTGCCACATCAACTTGACCGCTGAACCCTACAGGTCCAAAAATGATACTTAACGGGTACCCAGGGTGGTAAAAAGTGGTGCCAAGTGGTCCAAGCGTCCATATGTGATGAGTTGGGAGAGAGTCTGTGTTGAGAGATCAGCTCAGAGCCCAGATCTGATCCTCCATCTGAATCTCTCTCTGTCGCTCCTCTCACTTCTCTGCAGTCTTGAGGGGAAACTATCTGATAATGAGGAGCAACAGACCTGATCACAGAACTAAATGTGTCCTGAAAACAACACGGACCAAAACCATAAAGAACACAGCTCAAGTTTCCATTTAAAACTATTATTTTGTTCCAGACTGAAGAGGTAAAATATCAGAACCAGACAGGAGAGTTTTTCTGAAGAGACTTTTGTTTCATTTTTCTTTCAGTTACTCATTAAAGTCCTGTTATTAATACATAAAAAATTACTTCTACATACTGCTGACCAATGTGCACACACACACAATTACTGTTTTATTTATTTTATTTTCATATTTTAAATTTAATTTAATTTATTAATTTGAAAAGAATTGTTCTTTTGTATTATCTTTTAAACTTTGGCAATATTGTTGTTTGACATTCATGCCAATAAAGCAAATTTGAATCAATTTGAATATCAGTCAGCTGTTACTGAACTTGTTTTTATTCAGAAATGTGTTTAAATTCCATACCTCATTTTATCTAACATTTTTTTATAATTCACATTATTTCTGTACATATAATGTAATTCCATTTTGTAGATAAAATTATACTCAGAGGTTAATTTCTTAATCAGTGAACTCTGTACAGACAGACTTACTGAGTTGTATCAGGTGCTTTGACCACAGGTGTAGTTTTTTCATTTGTTTTGCACATATATAGAGATACTTTTAACTGTGTTTTATAAATAAATAAATATTTTTATCTACATGTAATCAGTTTATTATCACTGGTATTTAGTAGGCACTTTTGTGCAGAGTGCAAGTTATTCATTCAGAAATGTTTATCTAGTCCCTACCTCATTTTATTTAACACATCACGTGTGCTTTTTGCATTATTCATGTTATTTTATGACTTCTTGTCCGTCAGTACAGATCATGTGACTCTACTTTGTAGATAGAAAGGCGACATTATTTTAATATCATTAGCTTAAAACATCTAAATATATTCAGACACCACAGGTTTTGTATAAGGCACCATCAAATTACAAAAGAGATTCAATGTATGATTAGCTGTGATCTGAGACACACAGACCTCTTTCCACCTGGTTTCAACAGGTTTGATTGTCTGCTGACATTTCAGACATCAGAAGCTGTGTTTCTGTTTAAAGCTGGTTAATCTGTTCATGAAGCTCCCTGTGATACATCAGTGCTGAGGCTGCAAACAACCAGCTACATTTACTCTCCTTACTGTAACAAAGTACTTTTATAGTCTGCTCTCTGATTGTTTTTAAAATACCTGATATTTGCGGGAGCGCCATCTGATGTGTCCACATGTCAGCTATCTTTCTCTGCTAGCTTAGGTCACTTCAATAGCAGCCATTCTTTCTCTGTTCCCCTCAGATCTATGACAAGAGGGCCTGGTCATTCACTGTTTCATCAGGTTTGGTTTTCTTGTCCGTATGTTTTTTATATTTCCAGCCAACAACCAATCCAACAACAGCAGCTGAACAAACCAGAACAAAAGCTGCTCCCAGTCCGTAGTAAAGTCTATAGTTTCCCTCCTCGACGTCTCCGCTGTTGGACCCTGAAGATCAAAGTGCATATTAGTCAGGAAATGAGTGAACAGTGGAACAGCCTCCATTTACTCTTCTATATCTTCTATATTCCTCATGTTTGACTCTCAGAATCAACATGGAACAAACTGCAGCTACAACATGGCACACAGACACACTGACCTCCACAAACTCACCTGAAACCTCCAGCTGGATGATTCTGATTGGCTCAGTCTCAATGATGGCTCTCTTACGTCTTGGATCTCCTGTTGCAACTCGACACTCGTATGTTCCAGCGTCGTTGCTGCTCACGTTCTTCAGAATTAAAGACACGTCTCCGTCCTTCAGCTCTCTGTCCACCAGCTGCACCTGGTCCTTAAAGGATGGATGCTGCTGGATTGGATCTGAGCGTCCATCTCTGTAAAAGAGGACGTACTCTGACTCCAGGTCAGGTCTGCTCCACTCTACAGCTCTGATGGAGGCTTCACCAGCCTGACATGGCAGAGTGACGTCATCTCCAGGTTTCACTCGTACCACATCTAAAAACATCCAGAGAGAAAAAGTAATTACATTTCAAAAGGACTCCACAGGACGATACAGTGAGAACATCTTTGTTTAAACAGAAGACCTCTTCACACCTGAGATCATGGGAACATTCAATAATTACTCATCAAATGTCATTCAGAATAAACGCCAGTATACGACAGCAGACACACCTTCATGCAGTGGAGACGTTACAGGATTTTGTAAGACTTGTTGTTGTGAAACATGAAGCTGCTTCAACATTGTGATTAAATGGCATTATAAAATTGGTAGATCAAACAAAGCGATCTGATTGGTTCAAAGTAGTGTTTTAATGAGCGTGTACAACAACCATGATGTTGAACTCCTTTGCACAGATCTGTATCACTCCGCAACAAAGTAAAGTTAGATTACTGGCTAACTCCAAACTCCAAACGTAAACTTTGACCTGTGCCTTTCATACAGCGCGGCGAGCCGCATTTCGGCACAATACACAAAACAGGCGTGTGCTTCAAGTGAGGTTACAGCCTGTTGACTAAAAGAAGGTAAAATGTTATCTCAGTCATTTCATCTTATAATTAGGTTCAGGTTAGGCGTGACGTTGTGATGGTTACGGTTAGGGTAAAGGCTGGAGAATGCATTATGTCAATGAGATGTCCCCACAGGGATAGAGGAACAAACAAATGCTTGTGTGTGTTATTTACATTTATTCATTTAGCTATATATGTCAGAGGTCGCACACCCTCCGGGGCAACGAGGAATTAAGTGTCTTGCTCAGGGACACATGGGTGGATGTGTCACAGCGGGGAATTGAACCCCGGTCTCTCACACCAAAGTTATGCATCTTATCCACTGCAGCATCACCACCCCTGTGTCCAGCACTACCCCAGTATGTGAGGGGTAGTCACGTGACTTTAGTCAGCCGTAGAAGAGCTCTGGTTGCAGTATAACAGTTACTGAGAGGCTGTGTGTTGTGTTTGCTGCCACAGAACATGAATAAAGTCCCTGTTTATGTAACGCAACTGTGAAAAACTAACTTAGCTAGTTAGCAGCTACAAGTCAGACTAAACTCATTAAAATAGCCAAAAACTTGTGCCAATAGCCAATAAAGAAAAAAAATAGCCAAAAAGTGAAACCACATCCTGACTAAGGTCACAGTGACACGAGCAGCAAGATAAAAAGTTTCTATGGGGAACATTCCCAGATAGCGCGTTAGGTTTGGTCTGATTTAGGCAGAAAACACTGAAATCTCAACCACACATCTCACTTTAACTGATATAATCTATTTAACAAGTCGCCCAGCCCTGTTACAAACACATGGAGACTTTCTAGGACAAGAGGACATTATTTTATAACACTGATTAAAGTCTTTCCTGCCTCCATGAATCTATTGACAATAAAAATCTCATCTTTACCAGAAGCTGCTGGAGACAGAAGGACCAACAGGAACAAGAACTTATCCATGCGAGAGGAGGTGATGTCTGCTGCTGCTGCTGTAACTGTTCTCTGTCTGTGATTGACCCACTGACTGTATTTACTATGGTTTCACCCTGAGAGAGTGTGTTTCTGTCACTGTGTCTGTCAGTTTGAAGCACTTCCTTGTACACAAAGCTGTGCTCCACCCACCACGGCGGATCCTAGAGCAACTTTCACAGGAAGACAAGAAGTCAAGACAAACTTCAGGGCTTCTGTTTTCTGCAGTGCGGATTAAAGGGTAAAAATAAGATAAGAAATGGATTTAAAAATGTAATAATAATGTAAATAAATGCCTTTGATGTAATTGTTTTCACAACATATCAAAGCATTTTTATGTGATTTAGTCCCATCACATGGATCTCATCAAATGTCATTCAGAATAAACGCCAGTATACGACAGCAGACACACCTTCATGCAGTCCACATAATAACGTCTCCAGTGTGATGAACAAAGATCCCAGAGCTGATTTCTGCTGCTTCAAATTTAAAGGTTCAGTCCAAATGGTCACAGTGAAAGTCATCAAAACTGAAGCCTACTTTTACGCTTTACTCCAGTATTTTCTTTAAGCCAGTAATCTGCTGTTAATTCCTTCACAACTTAACTAGTCTGTATTGCTTCATTAACCAAAACCCTAACCCACCTGCGGCTGAAATAAGGGAAACACAAGTGGAAACTGCGAGTGCTGTTTAAACCACAGAGGATGGTGAGAGTCAACAGGGCTGACTAACACATGGAGAGAACAGAAAGAGGCAACTCTGTCTGCAGTGTGCTTGTGTGGAAATATTAAATGTGGAGGCAAAGACCGCAGATTCAAGGAGGCCAGTGAGTAAACACTAAATTACAAAGGTGGAGAATGAGAAGTACAATTAAAATGGTTAAATAAGAAATAGTCTAGAAACAAATATACTGTCATTCTGTGGGAAACACTTAATAGTCTATATAAATATATAAAGCATTTAGCCCAGTTGGCGACGGCCGGCCTGGTCCTGAGATGGGCTGACCAGCTCAACATTCAGTCAAAATTAAACACCTCATTATCAGAGAGAGTTCAACATAATCTGATTGTCAGTAAGGATGCTACTGTAGGCCTAGCAGAGACAGGGAGGAGGGCGGTAGAGGTAGGAAGAACACAGTGACAGCAGACAGAGAGCACACAGACACTTCAACATACTCAGATGGACAGCCATTGTTTTAACTGCATGTGTAAATTTGTTATAAAATACTAAGCATTGTGCTCCAGTTACATGTGTCCACAAATGTTGCCTCAGACGTGTCCCCGTCCTCCCCTGGCCCACAGATACCCAACTTAATAAGTGTCCCCTCCACTGATGAAAACACAACCTATGCTCTTATGTCAACAACACAATTACTCCATAAGTTGAAACACATGAAAACAGTTTCTGCAGGAAGTGATAGGAGGAGAGAGGAGAGAGACGAGAAAGCACAAGACTACCAGAAAGGGGAGAAGTTGTGTTAGTAACATGCAATAATGGGATGAGGTTGCATACAGAGGGAGAGAAAGTAGAGGAGAGAGGAGCTCAGTGCATCATGGGAAATCCCCCGGCAGTCTAGGCCTATAGCAGCATAACTAAGGGATGGTTCAGGACTACCTGAGCCAGCCCTAACTATAAGCTTTATCAAAGAGGAAAGTCTTAAGCCTACTCTTAAATGTGGAGATGGTGTCTGCCTCCTGAACCCAAACTGGAACCTGGTTCCACAGGAGAGGAGCTTGATAGCTGAACGCTCTGGCTCCTAGTCTACTTTTGGAGACTCTAGGAACCACAAGTAACCCTGCATTCTGGGAGCGCAGTGCTCTGGTGGGGTAGTAAGGTACTATGAGCTCTTTAAGATAAGATGGTGCCTGACCATTAAGAGCTTTGTAGGTAATATATGAATCAGTGTGGGCGCAGCTGCAGGCTTTAACTCTCTGTCAGTATCAACAAGGTCCTGCATAAACTTCAACAAGGCGTCACGATCACAGTAGCTACATTACAAGATTCATCTCATATGAGAAATGCATGCATATATTTAGCGTGTGTGTGTCAGTGCTCACTACACATCCAGGATTATTATTAGGGTTTAAGTATTCTGCAGTTTGGCTCAAAGACGAGATGAGTTCATTGTAGTAGGGTTAATTAATAAAATATTGAAATAGCTCAAAGATGGTGGAAGACATGAGGCAGCTGCTCCTCTGCTGTTATAAAAAAAAAAACCTTCAGGCTTTATAAATCTTTATCTCTCAGTTTTATCAGCTTAAATTAACTTCAAATTGCAGCAAACCTCTGCTTACAGCCCCTGACTCCCAACTCTGTCTGTTTGGTTTCCTGCTTCTCCTTCCAGAGCGATCACTAATGAAACCTGCTTGTTCAGAGTAACTTTGCTCACAGCCAAGTGAAGTACTGAAGCAGGAAACTGAACAAAGATTGCTGGTGAGGGATTCAGCCCCTAAATTTCATCTAAGCACCCCTAAAAATAATACAATAATTTATAGGGACAAGTTCAATCGAAAACCTTTTGCTCTGGTTTCCTATGTTTTGTCGGGGCTGAACTCAGCCAGGTTTGTGAGACACGTTCAACAGAGGAGGGGGCGAAAGAACTCGTTCCCCAGTTTTCCTTTTACTTTACTTTAGCTCGTTGGTTGACAGCGCAGCTGACCTGCCGCCCTGTCGGGCATTCAGGCAAAGGATAGTGCGTTCAGTATCTCAGTACCGCGGCGTTTCTTGTAATAATGTTCTGGAAGTATTAATCAGCTAGGTGGGAAAATGAGTAAATGTAAAGTGAGAAAATTAATATTAGTACAGATCCTGCCCAAAACGGCTAACAGTAGACGTAGCTATGAAAGTAGTTTTAATTTAATGTTATATTATATTAATGTGATACATTTATAGGCTACTCCACAGATTCTGTACAAGCAAAACAAGAAGATTTAACTGAAAACACAAAACTGAACACTTTTAGAGAAACATTTTTAAAACCCTCCCTCCTCTGATGGAGTCTACAGCTCCACTGCTGTCTGACCCTAACTGGTCCACTGACCCCATGGGTGTCATTTACACTGGGGACGCTGGGGACATGTCCCCACCACATTTTGAAAGCATTTGTTAAAAAAAGTCTGAAAAATAACTTGCACCAAGAAATGTTAACTAACAAATTAAAATGGTTTGAGAAAGGTTTATTTGCACAATAAGAAAACCCGCAATGCAATACATTTTTCCCTTGTATAAAAAAATACATAAAATGTCTCCAGAATGCAGGAAAATATCAGCTTAATGATGCTCAAAATCGTCTTGTCTTCTGCATTGTCACGTCTCGTGACCCAAAAGTGTCATCACCCCTCTAATCTGAGCCCTTCTGTCCCAACCACTTTTCAACACAAAGTGACCTTCTTGACTCACCTACTCCGCTCTCCGCTCCATCTTTCACTTATAAAAAGAGACACAAAGTCAGTTCAACAGAAACAACTTGACAGCAACAAAAAACACACAAACAGGAAATAAAGCTGACAAACAGCTTAAAACCAGGTTTTTAGTTACATTCAGTGCTGTGAATGAACAAAGAAAAATGTAAATGGCAAATTAAATAAAGTAGATACCCACTGACTAAACATGTTTAATGTTTTTGCCGACACTGCAGCTCTGTGCAGGAAGTCCATGAAGATGCTGATGTGCTGCCACCTGCTGGCTGCTTCTTGTCACTGCAGACACTCGACAGTCTTCAGGAGGAGTCACGAGACATTTCAACAATGTAAAGTTTTCATACTAAAAGTAAGGCTGTTAATATGTGTGTGTTCAACCTTTATTTATACAGAGAATCAGACCAGGGTCTCTTTTACAACTCATTATTCAGATATTATTAAAGAGATATAAATATATATAATACAATAAAATAAACAATATTCACAGCATTATATTCACAGGCAGGTTTTTGCAGCTCACAATGAACCTGAGAAATCTCTAACTAACTGCTGACTTTCCAATTTATTTTAGAGGTTACATAGCTGAAAGGTTTTTGCATTTAAAGCCTTACGGACGATTAATAACCAGTGCCTGGTCCTCCGTGGTGACCAAAGAATCTCACCCCACTAGCAAGTACGGTACACAATGGTGTGTCGAGACCTGCACTGCAGCTGAAGCGTGCATTACAGTAAATCACCAAAAATAAGCTTCTACAATGTATTTATATGCTGGTAAGAAAGGCATGATTTGTTTCTAAAATAAACCAAGTTTAACTCTTCGCTTCCTCACCAAGACAGTAAGATGTTTTAAAGTAAGGTGTTCATCCAACCAAATACCAAGGTACTGTATTTGTACG